GTCCTTAATGGTGTCACTATCATTCTGATGCTATTTTTTAAAATTTGAATAACTATTAATTATTTATATTTTTTAGCATTGACTATATCATGCCATCACCACTATCACAACAGATAATACAACAAACTGAGCCCTTGAGTATAAAAAGGTTTGTACATATTATATCTCAATAACTACATACTAATTTGTCCACATAATTTCTTGTAGAAAAGCCCCTGACTCTGACTCTTCAACAATAACCAGTACTAGTGCTTCAGAAATTACTTTGACTGCTTGTGAAGAGACGGAAAACATGGTCTCGGATACAGTAGATTTTTTAGACAATAATGTAAAAACTGGTATTGAAACTATACAAAATAAAAATTTAATTATTAGTTCATCAACAAAACGGTGAGTGAATAATGGAAAACTTTAACTTATCATAATATCAAACTTTACTTCATCTATGTAGTAGGTCTTCAAGTGAGTCTACATCAGAAAGTGGCTTTAATTTTGGATCATCATCAGCACAGTTTGCGAAGCGGTATATTTTTTATATAATTTTTCATTCTTCTCTAAAATTCTAATTATTATAATTAATTTTAGAATAAGAATGTCTCGAAAACCTCACAGACGTTATATTGGACATATTTCTAGTGGTGATTTTTCATCACCAACTACAGCAAAAAGAGCATTTAATTTGGCCAAAACTAAGATGCAAGAATATCGGAAAAAGGTAATTAACTTGAAAAGGCAAAATGCAAGAATAAGGAACAGAGTCACAAATTTGAATTCGCTCTTAAGTTTACTGAAACGAAAAAACTTGATATCAGATAATGCTCAAGAAGCTATTGAGGTGAATGTATAAACAGATTCAGCAATAAATAATTTCAATAAATAATATTTTGCCCGGCCCAGCATCAGAAATTGTAAAAAATGTTTTGAAAGGTTCAAAGAATCAAAAATATTCTCAAAGGTTGCGAGCATTTGCTTTGACCTTGCACTTTTACTCGCCACGAGCTTATAACTATGTACGTGAAAAGTTTAACAAGTCTTTACCCCATTCATCAACTGTGTCAAAATGGTACCAAAAAATTGATGGTAAGCCTGGATTTACCCAAGAGGCTTTAAATGCACTGATTCTCAAAGTAAAGGAAAGTGGTAAGAAAGGGCAACCTAGTGATTGATGAAATGTCAATCCGAAAAAAAATCGAATGGACAGGGGAGAAATTTGTGGGATATGTGGATATTGGAGCAAATGTCGCGGCAGATACCCTTCCAGAGGCTAAAGAAGCCATTGTGTTTTTAGTAACTAGTGTTAATGGAAATTGGAAAATTCCAGTTGGATATTTTTTTATTGATGGCCTGTCTGGTACTGAAAGAGCAAATTTAGTTAATATGTGTCTGGAATTTTTACATCCTTCAGGTATAACAATAACATCAATTACTTTTGACGGTGCTGCCGCAAATATAAATATGGCTAAGCAGTTGGGGGCATGTTTAACTGATTTTGATAACCTAACCACTCATTTTATTCACCCTATTACCAATGAAAAAGTGACATTTGTCATATGATAAAATTGATACGAAATTGTTTGGGAGAATTGAACAAATGAGGGGCAAATAGTAAACTGGGAATATCTTGTTAAACTAGTTAATTTTCAAATTGAAGAAGGTTTGTCAGCAGCAGCAAAACTCCGGAATAAGCATATCAATTTTGCAAAAGAAAAAATGAGGGTTAAAACAGCTACTCAAGTGTTTAGTGATGCTCTAACTTTTTTAGAAAGACTTGGAAATTGATAAATTTGAAGGAGCTGCAGAAACTGCACGGTTTTGTCAACTTTTCAACGATGTTTTTGATATTCTAAACTCTAGATCAAAATTCGCGAAATATATATTTAAAAAAGCATTGTGCCCAGAAACTGCGGACATGTTTTTTAATAAATTTTCTGAATTAAAAAATTATATATTAAATTTATATCTAAAAAATAAACCTATACTCCAAAGTAATAGAAAAACTGGCTTTCTGGGTTTTCTGGTAGGTAAGTATGGAAAGTTTTTATAATATTTATCAAAAGTATATTATTGGAGGAAATTTGAAATTTTTATTAGGATATAAATTCAGTCAGGACCATTTAGAGACACTGTTCAGTTCTGTAAGAAGTTTACATGGCTTCAATAATAATCCGACATGTCGGCAGTTTACTTCTGCCTATAAAAAACTTTTAATTGCTAGAGAGGTTAGATGGATGGATGAGAAACATTGATATTGAATGTTAGTAGCAGAAAAATTACTCTAAATGACCAGAAAGAGGATCTTGAAAGATGTGATGAATACCAAAAACTCTGCAACCAACTTGATGATCTCGACTACTTTTCTTTGTCAGGATGGCAGTTATCATAATTTATTAATGATGTTATTGTGTATATTGCACGATTCGTCGTTAAATGCTTAAAAAAATGCATTACATGCGCGAAATGCATTCGTCTATTAGAGACAAATGAATCATTGTCTTTGTTACAAAAAAAGAAAAACTTTTGGAAATTTATTCAAAGCAACAAAATTTGTATGTGAAATATGTACTTGGGGTGAGAAGGTATATTGAGGCAAAATCAAAGTGTTTTATTAGCCTCTTATTCCAGACATATAATGACTGTAATGGTTAATAAAACCATTAACGTTTTACCCCAAAAAATTTTCCACGAATTTGGTGATCACATTTTTGATGACGAGTTTTTAGACAACCACCAGCTGTCTTTGGTCAAATTAATTTTGAAACGTTATTTTACTATACGGTTTCATCATGAAACACGAAAAAAATCAGATCTTGTGAAAGATAGAGTCAGAAGGCACAGTATGGTTTCACGGAGGGGGTTGGTACAGATGATGCCTTGAATGAAGTCACCACTTTCATTGTAGATTGTTTCGATAATGGTTGGAAGCCTCTCGCTGTTTTTCTGAACCTTACCAAAGCGTTCGATACTGTGGATCATCGCACTTTATTGAACAAATTATATTATAACAGTGGTATAAGAGGAAGAGTGCTTCAGCTATTTGAGTCGTATCTAACAAATAGGACTCAAAGAGTCAATCTTGATGCAGTTTCAAGTTCACTCATAGATCTGAAGTGCGGTGTTTCACAGGGTACAGTGCTTGGACCCATACTATTCTTAATTTATATTAATAGTCTTCCACATGTAATCCCTGAAGTAAAAGTAGTATGTTTCGCGGATGATACGGTTCTTTTATGTAAAGGAGTTTGTTGGGACGAAACCTTTTCGAGAGCTGAAAGTGCAATGTGCAGTGTTCGGGCATGGATGGACATGAATTCCCTCACAGTGAATGTTAAAAAAACTAACTTCATGTGTTTTTCAATGAGCGCGAGGGGGTTACCAAACAGTCATGTACTTAGGGTGCACACCACTGATTGTAATATGAAAAACGACTGTACATGTTCTGATAACATCAAATCAGCAAATAAAATTAAATATTTGGGTGTTTACTTTGATAATCACTTGAAATGGCAGCATCATACTGATTACAATGAAAACAAACTAAAAAAACTCATATACAAATTTTATGAATAATATACTAGATAAAAAAACAATCATAAGAGTGTACAAAGCATTAGCTGAATCCTGCTTGAGCTATGGCATAATATGCTGGGGTTCCGCTTACAATGATGTTTTGAAAAACATTACCATTGTACAAAAATATATATTGAAAGTTATTTTGTTTAAACATAAGCAATTCCCATCTGACTATTGTTCATGGAGTCTGGCGTTTTCACTGTTGCTCAACTATATATCAAAAATGTCCTAAGATTTTCAATTTCTAGCAAATACTTTCAGAATTTTATCAGTCATGGCATTCAAACAAGAGCAAGTACAAATCATAATATTGCTACGAAATCGTTAACGCCAGAAAAAAAAACGGCGTCCGCCAGGCTGTCAAGAATCGATGGCGGAAATACTAGAATCTAGCGAATTATTCTACTTTAATCTGGAAAATTAGATTATCGGGTGTATTTTACAGGAATAGAGTTAGGGATATATAAGAAGGCCGGCATTGATTTGTAAGTTAAGTTTCAGTTCGACTGTGATACGATTTAAATAGTGATTGTAAAGAGTTTAATTGTTGAGTTAGTAAAGTAATTAGTGTCAAAGTGTTTTGTTAAGTGGAATAAATTATTGCTGTGTTAATTGGACTTTGATTTTTGGAATAAACGAAACGAACCACGAGCCCAAGATTTTTGTCAGCAGGCAACCCAAAGCCGCGACAATATTATATTGCCTATTACGCATTATAGTGCGACACAAAGATGTATTACTTATATAGCACCCAAATTATTGAATATGTTACCAGAACAATATAAAAACAGAAAATATAGTAGGATTAAGAAACAGTTACACGTATGGATTAAGGATAACACAAATACCATTAAACGCTTCATTAAATTACAGTAAAACATATTTGTTTTTTTCAATTTTTTCTCTTTTTTTCTTCTCGGCCTTTATTGGTATTATGTGTCAATGTATTTTTTTATATAACTAAATTTAGCTAAATATTCAAAATCAAAATAACGAATGTTTTGGAAAAATTGATTGAGTCAAAATAACATTATATTGGCAATAAAATGTAAAATTGTCAATGCTTTGAAATTTTTTATGTGGAAAAGCTTTGTGTTGCTAACATAGTTACTAAATTTTTGACTTGGGGAATAATCTTGAAAAAAAAACAAGACTTTAGGTTGTAATGTAACCAGTTCATATCATTACTGCCGCTTGGATTTAGTTCAACCACAGTTTCAACAGGAACCTTGGTTTCAACCAATGAAATTCACTCTAACTAGTTTGTGATTTTTGTGCGAACAGACCTAATGACACTTTTGGTTAACAGAATTAATGCAAAAAAATGCCTGTTTCTAAAACAGGGCGAGAGACAGAGTTGGAAATACATTCAGTGCGCATTAAATCTTCCAATACAAAATAGCTATTTTCTAAAATCCTTTTAAGCTTACCGTTGGCATTGATGATTGTTGATTGGTCTCATTCTGAGGCAAATAGTTCTGAGGATAGCCTACTCGTTGCACTCTTCCTGGATGAGGCTCAGTTGATTGTTGATTAGTTTTATTTTGAGGGAAATAGTTCTGAGGATACCCTACTGGTGGCGTCCTTCCTAGACGAGGCTCAGTTGATTGCTGATTAGTTTTATTATGCGGGATATACATTTGTTGCGCCCTTCCTTGACGAGATTCAGTTGATTGCTGATTAGTGTTATTATGAGGTAAATAGCTCTCAGAATATCCTACTTGTTGCGTCCTTCCTACACGAGGAGTAGATTGTTGATTGGTGTTATTATGAAGGAAATAGTTCTGCTGAGGATAGCCAACTCGTTGTGCTCTTCCTGGATGGTGCTCGGATTGCAGTGTATATTGCTTCGAGGGCCAGTTGTTAGGGGTAGATTGATTAGAGCGGTTAGATGTTGGCATTGAACTTGTAGGAAATGGTGGAGGATTCGCTTCTGAGACCTAAAATATATCTAGTAATAATTTTTTTATTTGATGATTATTTTTGGAAATAACCTGGAGCATTTCTCTCAACACCTTGATATCTTTCTGCAATTTTCTGTTGGCACTAAAATAACGAACGCATTCATTTTTGGCATAATTGTACTTTTTGGATAAGGCTTGTGCGAATATGGATCGGTGCATTGCTTGAAAACTGTAAATCTAAGAAAAAATAAAATATTAGAATAATAGGCAAGTAAAAAAAGCTTGCTTTACCTACTTTGAGAGATTGATTAAAAACATTTTCCAAAGGCCAAAAAAACATTTGGGTCGTCGATTCCATATTTTTTCCTAGTTCTATTGCTACAGCCGTTTTATTACAAATCAGGCAACGTTTAGTTTTTACTGCAAAAAAAAAGACATTAGGTATTTCAAAACGGTTTATATTTTATTGGGTTGAAACAGTCGGATAACAATAATATGAAGAAGATTCACTTTGTTTAGTCGTACTAAATTTAAAGAAAGCATCTCAATTTTCAGAATTTGAAGATATAAAAATAGGTGTCCAAAAAAAAGCTATGAGTGTTTTGGGCACACGACGTGAAAAAAGTTCGTCACCTATGTTTGACAACTTTTATGCAATTTTTGAGGTGAAATAGTAGGTTTGTTCCAGCAGGCTTGTGACATGCGCAATGACAAATTTGTGTTCCAGCAAAGAAATGTTAGTGACAATTTGCAAATGTCAGCTGTTTCAGCAGATGTTTGAAACATTTATAACGTGTTGGCAACTGCTCGAAATCCTTGTCGATTTTCTTCAAACATTTTAATTCCTAACCCAACTTTGTCCTTCACCTTTGATCAAGGTTCCACCTGATCAATTTTTTCATTACAGAATTACAATGAAAATGGCGGCCAATGCCAAGCGGCAAGCAATGAAATTGGCGCCATAAGTTTAATTCAAACAACCAGGAGATTTTTCATCAAAAAACTGTTTTTTGTTTATTTTGTGGTGTTCTTAGGTGATTTTTTAGTGTTTGGAAGGATAATTTTCGAATTTTAGGATGTGAAGTTTTTCTTTCATGAAGTTATTAGTGAAAAACCCAGATGTTGGCAGAAGGTATGATGTTGTAAAGTCAATATCAATTATCGTTGATTGTCCTTTACTTAGTTTAAGCCTTCATTTTAAGTCATAATTATATTTAAACATTGTAATACATTTTATGCAACTTATTATATTCTATTTTCTAGTAAATGCTAAATGCTGAAGCAGCAAACCGTGGTTGCCACCTAAAAGTAGGTTACTTTATAATTTTAAACCATCATTTTGTCACGTGATTAGGTTGGCAACAAAACTGTTTGTCGCTAAGCAAGCAGCGGTAGTAGTAATGTTAATTTCCACATAACCATGTATTAATCTCTGCTACTCACATCACACAATATACGCACAGTGGCTTCAGTATATTAATTTTCTCAACCAATTAAGTAATAAATTCTAGTAGTGATCTAAGGATTTAACTTGTTTTTTTTCTTGTTTACGCCGGATACGACCCAGAACCTTCTTCGCAAACCTCAAGTTTCAAAGTTGTGGAAACTCCACAACATAATTTGGTGTCAGGTGTGGGGTTAATCGATGGTTACTCGAGAAGAAGTGCAGTTCAGTTTGGTTCAAGCTATTCGGCAATAGTAACAAGAAAAGAATTGTTGAGTAAAAATTTTTTTTTTTAGTCATCAGCCAAAAAAACAATCCAGTGATCAATCAACCATTCTTTAGCCAAGAAAACAGAAGGTAACTTTGTACTGCGCGGATAGTTGAAGCTACTCCAGAGTCCGGTACTCTTGAATTTTGGTTCCCGAATTCCGCTCACCGTGGGATTCTTTTGGACTTTTTACCGATTTTTCGAGACTAGAATTTTACTGTAAGTTAACTGTGTCTGTATATTCATTTTTTTTTATTCTGTATATTTACCCTGTTATTTTATTTTATTTTTTGCCTTACAAAATGCTTTATAACTCTTAATGTCTGACGAAAGAAATTACGAAAATCACTCTGACGATTCTAGTGAGCCTGATAACTTGCTATACGAAAACGATTTATCTGTTTTAATAGTTGATGAAACTGGAATTGTCGAAAACATGCCTAAATTAAACGTTGATTTTGCTTTAAAATTAATTCCCGATTTTAACGGAGATAGAAAAGATTTTCACAAATTTGCCTCATGTTGTGATATTGTAAATGCTGATTTGACTCAAGTCGCAGATAAACAATTATTGGTTAGCATCATTAAATCTAAATTATCTGGTCCTGCCTATAATGTTGTCAAGCATAAAATCCTTGCAGACTGGGATGAACTTAAAATTACTCTTCAAGAACAGTTTTTAGAGACTAGAAGTATTGCTCAACTACAGTCTGAATTGATTAGAGCTAAACAACAACCTGGTGAATCAGTTAGGGCGTTTGCTAATAAAATAGAACAGCTTTTAAATGATCTTAATGATGCTTGTATAGCTTCTGAAGGCGTTGCAGCATCAGCAACAATCAATAACTTAAATTCAAAAACCGCATTTAAATCTTTTGTCGAAGGCCTAAATCAATCTTTAAAATTAATAATCAAAGCTTCCAGATTCACTAAATTGAGTGACGCTATTGAAGCAGCAGTCGAAGAAGAGCGAAATCTTAACGAAAACTTTAATCAGCACAAAAACAAAAATAAACCATTCAAAAAATGTAATTACTGTAAAAAAAATGGACATGTCGAAAACGAGTGCTTTATTAAGAATCGTTCCTCTTCTTCTCAACAGCTTCCTACATTTCCGAAGCGAGAAATTAAAACCGAGGTTCATGTTACCAATATAACTTGTGCATATTGCAAAAAACATGGTCATCATATCAAAGATTGTTTCAAGAAAAAAAGAGCCGATGAATTTAAAAACAATCCTAATCGAAACGCTAGAAATTCTGCAAATCCTAATAATTACAGCCAGGGAAACTTCCAAGCACCAGTTGCGAGCAGCGGCGACGCAACGACGGTGACCCAATTGTAAATTGCCGTCCTATAAAATCATTCAATCTTTCAGAAAGTTCTGTCAAAATACATAATGTGTTGCAAAATCCTCAATCTTGTAGTCCTAAAAAAATTACTTGTCCTCTTGTTCCAAAATCCTATACAAGTAAATATCCTATTCCTAATAATTCTTATACTACAAGCAATCCTTATTTAAATGAAGCAACCATTCCTGAAACCAATATCCTTTGTGTAAATCCTTGCGTCATTGAAGAAGCAGATAGCATTCATATGCCCTTTTCTTTAGCTAACAATGACGAAGTTAATCTTTTAATTGATACTGGTTCTCAAATTACAATTTTAAAAAAATCTTGCATTAAAGGAAACGCCATATGCTATACCGACTATAAGGCATATCTTAAAGGCATTTCCGATTCTTTAATTGCTACTTACGGAATCTGTTATGGGGAGTTTAAAATTGGAGGAGTCAATATAACTCACCCTGTACATTTAGTAAAAGATAATTTTCCTATACCGCAAGATGGCATACTTGGAAAGGATTTTCTTATAAAATACAAGGCTAATATCGATTACAACAATAATACCTTATCTCTTTCTTATGAAAATAAAATAATTCCTTTACCATTTGACACATCAAAAAATAAAACCATTATTAAAATTCCTGCTAGAAGCGAAGTCATACAAAAGGTTAAAACTTCTCATGTTCATGAATCTTTATGCCTATCAGCAGAAATATGCGAAGGTGTTTATGTGGGTAACTCTATTAATAAACCAGTTCATGGTTATTGTTTTATCACATTTATAAATACTAATGAAAAATCTGTCACACTCGAAAATTCTCAATTGAGTTTTGAAAATCTTGAACTTTACGATGTTCTTTTAATAAATAAAACTCCTTGCAATCTCGATCGTCTTAATCTGCTTACCAATTCGATTCGGACGTCTCATATGTCTAGCGACGAGCGTGAAAGTATTCTTGAAATTTGTAAATCGTTCCATGAAATTTTCTTTCTTGATTCCGACGTTTTATCTTGTACTGAAACAATTACGCATTCTATTCCTACCACAGATGATATTCCTATCAATGTTAGACCCTATCGTCTGCCGTATCACCAACAGGAAGAAGTCAAACGTCAAATTGACAAAATGCTCAAAGATGATATAATTTCTGAATCCTCGTCTGCTTATAATTCTCCTTTATTGGTTGTACCCAAGAAACCTGATATTCATGGTAATCGTAAATGGCGCGTAGTCGTAGATTTTCGTAAACTTAACGACAAAACCCTTTCTGAAGTTTTTCCGTGGCCCAATATAACAGAAATTTTGGATCAGCTTGGAAACTCTAAATTTTGCTCTACACTCGATCTTGCTTCTGGTTATCATCAGGTCCGTACCGACCCAAAAGACAAACACAAAACTGCTTTTAGTACCTCTAATAATCATTACGAGTTCAATCGTATGCCCTTTGGTCTAAAAGGAGCCCCCTTTACATTTACAAAATTAATGAACAGTGTCTTGCTAGGATTTCAAGGAATTAAGTGTTTTGTGTACCTTGATGATGTAATTATATATGGTAAAACTCTCGAGGATCACAACTCCAAACTCAAGGATGTTTTCAATAGGTTTCGACTTCATAACCTTCAATTGCAGCCAGAAAAATGCGAATTTCTTCGCCCTGAGCTTACCTATTTGGGTCATACAATAACTGCCGATGGTATCAAACCGGATGAAAATAAAATTAAAGCCATTAAAGAATTTCCTACTCCTAAATCTCCAACTGAAATCAAACAGTTCATGGGGTTAGCTGGTTACTATAGAAGACACATACAAAACTTTGCAAAAATTGCCCAACCCATGAATAATTTGCTCAAGAAAAACATTTCTTTCCATTGGTCCCCTCTTTGTGTAGAATCTTTCGAAACTCTCAAGGAAAAACTGTGTAATCCTCCGGTCCTGCAGTACCCCGATTTTTCGAAGGAATTTATTCTCACTTGTGATGCAAGCAATTTTTCTGTAGGAGCAGTACTTTCACAAGGGACAGTTGGCTCAGACCGTCCCATTGCTTTCGCATCCCGGACATTGAATAAAGCAGAGCGAAACTATAGTGTCATTGAAAAAGAACTATTAGCCATAACCTGGGGAGTCAAGCATTACAGAGCCTATCTATATGGCCGTAAATTTTTGATTGTCACCGATCACAAACCTTTAATATGGTTATTTTCCGTGAAAGACCCAAGAAGTAGGTTAATGAAATTTCGTCTTAAACTCGAAGAATACGAGTACGAAATAATCCATAAGCCCGGCAAATATAATACAAATGCCGATGCATTAAGTCGAATCGTATACGACGTGAATCCAGTAAGCACACGAAACAAAAATTAC